TGGTTTTAAACTCAAGAAAAGAAGATGCAGACAAAGGCTTTGTCAGAATATCATCAATTTGTTGGGAAGCAGGAATATGGAACACTTCAATCTGTTTGGACTGAACTTTCTCCCTCACAAAAAAGAGATCAATCTCCATGTGTTTTATCCTGGAGTGTAACACAAGGTTGTGGGCAAGCTGTACAGTGCTGAGGTTGTCACAGTAGACCTTTGGAGTAGAAAATGATACTTGAAGCTCTTTGAGTAAGAACTGAACCCACAGAAGTTCAGCTGCAGTGTCTGCTAAACTCCTGTATTCAGCTTCTGCAGAGGATTTGGCCACTCTCAGTTGTTTCTTGGACCACCAAGAAATGATGTTTGACCCAAGAAAGATGCATGATCCAGCAGTGGAGCTTCTGTCAACTAGGTCAGATGCCCAATCAGCATCACAAAAGGCAAAGATAGGTAAAGGCATAATTTTCAGAGGTAGAGGTTTAATGATGATGCCATGTGTTATAGTACCAGATAGATATCTAAGAATGTGTTTTACTGCCTTCCAGTGATCTTGTAGAGGTGCTACCATGAACTGACGGACCTTATTTACAGCATAACTGAGTTCTGGTCTTGTAAGAGTTGCATATTGCAGCATGCCAACAATGGATCTATAAGTGGAGGGATCAGGAAGAGTAGCACTTCCTGTATTAGTTAGCTTGCAACTAATAACCATGGGAGTTTTCACTCCTTTGGAATCAATCATGCCAGCTTGATGTAATAAATCTCTTATGTATTTGGTTTGAGAGAGATGAAGACTTCCATCAGTCAACTTTTTGACTTCTATTCCTAGGAAGAAGTCAATATCACCCAAGTGCTTGAGAGAAAAGGATGAGTGTAGTTTGTAAATAAGGTTTTGAATTGCTTTAGAATCATTGCTTATGACCAGAATATCATCTACATATATCAATATGTAGATCAGAACTCCTTGAGACTTGAAGAATAGGAGGGATGGATCACATTTACTTTGCTGAAACCCTGTTGCATAAAGGACTGAAGTCAATTTGTGAAAGCAGGCCCTAGGAGCCTGCTTTAGACCATACAATGACTTGTGTAGTTTGCAGACTAAAGTGGTGTCCTGTGCCTGAAAGCCTGGGGGTTGGACCATGTAGACTTCTTCATCAAGTTTTCCATTTAGAAAAGCATTATTGACATCTAATTGCTGAATGGACCACTGATAAGAAACTGCCAAGGTGAGTAACATTCTGATAGTGATAGATTTGACCACTGGAGAAAAGGTTTCTTTGAAATCAAATCCAAATCTTTGATGGAAGCATTTGGCCACTAGTCTTGTCTTATATTTGTTAAGAGAACCATCAGGGTTTTCTTTAACTCGAAAGACCCATTTACAATCTATAGCTTGTTTGTCAGGTGGTAAAGGAACGAAAGACCATGTTTGATTTTCTATCAAGGCATTATACTCATTTTTCATTGCAGAAAACCACTGAGGAGATGTGAGTGCTTGCTTCACTGACTGAGGCTCAACATGTGCTAATAGCAAGGTAGGATTAAGTCTAGGTTTAATAATTCCTGATTTTGCTCTAGTTTGCATAGGATGAGTGTTAGTTATATGAACAGAATTGGAAATTGAGGAAGTAGAGTCAGATGATGGAGGAGAAGGTGGTTGTAGATGAATTGCTTGCTGATGTAGGGATGGACTGGGAGTAGAGTTGTTGGAATTTACTGAAGAATTGTGAGTGGAGGGAGTAGATGAATAGTTTGCTGATTGATTGTGATTATTAGAAGAGATGGGTTGGGAGGCAGTGGGCTGGGAATTATTGGATGGGAGGTTATGAGACTGAGATTGTGAGTCAGTGAATGAAAGCCATGAAGCTGGGATTGAGATGAGTTAAAACCAGAAGGAGGATTTGAATTTAAAACAGTTAATATGGCAGAATCTGAGTTATGAGTAGGTTTGGTTGTGGGAATGGAAGATTGGGATACAGATGAATAGGGAAAACTGGATTCATCCTTTGAAATGTACACTCTGCCATATTTGGAAAGACACTTATAACCTTTATGCTGAGAAGAATATCCTATGAATGTACACTCTTCTGAGTGAAAATCCAACTTGTGTTTATTGTAAGGTCTGAGAAAAGGATAGCAAGTGCAACCAAAGACTGTAAGAGAAGAATAATCTGGGACAGATCCATAAAGTTTAAAATATGGGCTGGAATTGGCAATGAACTTAGATGGAGTTCTGTTGATAAGATGCACAGAAGTTGCAAAGGCAGCATCCCAGAACTTCAAAGGTAAAGAAGAGTGGGCTAGGATTGAGAGACCTTTTTCAACAATAGTGCGATGTTTCCTTTCAACCACACCATTTTGATGATGAGTGTGAGGACATATGATTCTGTGAGTGATTCATTTTTCATCGAGGAAATTAGTGAAGGATCTAAATTCCCCTCCCCAATCAGACTGTACAGATTTTATGGATATTGAAAATTGATTGAGAATCAAGTTGTAGAAATTTTGGAATGCTAGAAGAGCATCAGACTTATTTTTCAGGAAATATATCCATGTATATCTGGTAAAGGCATCAATAAAGGCTATATAATAGGAATATCCATCAAAAGATACAATGGGTGCTGGACCCCAAAGATCTGTGAATATTACTTCAAAGGGTTTATGATAAACAATATTAGAAGGATGTGAAGGAAGTCTATGTGCCTTCCCAAGACAGCAGGCAGAACAGAAATCAACATCAATGTGATTAATAGAAGACACAATACAATGTTTAAGCACAGATTTAAGTGCCTCAAGATGAGGATGACCTAATCTGAGATGCCAAAGATTACATTAAATTGAAGAATTACATGACTGAGACTTATTTACATGCTGACAAACAAATGCACAAACTTATTACTAGACACTAAAGAAGCTTGAGGATGAACTGCAGCAGTTGGACATGGACCAAAAGGAATGAAAGGAAACTTGTATAAGCCATCTTCACCAATTTTTCTATGCAACAAGACCTGTTTAGAAATCTGAGATTTGACATAACAGTCATGAGGATAAAATTCAAAGAAGACATTATTGTCCTTGGAAAATTGACTAACACTCAGTAGATTTTTGGTTATATGAGGAACATGAAGTATATTATTCAGTAAGAGTGATTGTGAGGAGTGATAAGGTGAGGGAAAGGAAGAAAAACCTATAGACTTGATATCCAAACCTTGGCCATTGCCCATGAAGAGCTTGTCAGATGTGGCAATAGGCTCACTGTGCTGGAAATTCAGTGGATCTGCAGTAACATGGTGAGTTGCTCCTGAATCTGGAAACCAATGTTGATTAGATGGAATAGGACCAAGTACAAAATGATTAGCAATGGCATAGTTTGCAGTTGGTAGAGTATTAAAAGGTTGTTGATGTCCCCAGTTAGGTTTCAGGAGGTGGATTGGTAGGCCGATGATTCCATGACTGATTGGGTTTTGATTGTATAGACTGAGATTGAAAGGTATATGGTTTAGGTTGATGAGTATAATGATTTGGAGGATAGTGAGATTGTGAGTTGGGATTCCAGTAGGGTGGAGGTCCAGAGGTTTGATTTGGATAATTACGGTTTTGAGAAGAAGGATTAGGGTTTGGATTGGTATATGCAGGATTGTATCTGTGGTAGCAAATCAAGGCATGGTGACCTGATTTTCCACAGACTTGACAAATGATAGAATTACGTCCAGAGCGACCACCCCTGCCTCTGTGATAGCCACTGCAACCACGTCCGCGGTAAGGATTACCAGTATTTGTGTTATTATACTGAGAAACATTTGCAGAGGCATTTTCAGATGAATTGTTCTGAGAGGAAGCATCAACTTGAGCAACGTTAGCAGAAAATATACTTTGCTGAGTAGTGTCATGATGTTTCTTAAGTCTCATCTCTTTTGCTAGAAGCAAGGACTCAAGCTCAGCAAAGGTAACTGGTTCGAGAATGCTGCGAGCAGGGTTGTCACGGCGTCGACTAGGCGTCGCCTAGGCGCCGACTAGGCGTCGCGGCGATGAAGAGGCATCGACTTGGGAGATCGACTCGCCAGAAGATGACCAGTCGCGTATGTCGTCGCCAAGGCGTCGTCCTGGCGTGAACTTGGCGACTTGTGGCCGCCTATTTTAGCCCAGTCGAAAGTCGTCCGCAGGCCCAAAAGCAAATTAAGGTTAATTTTTTTTAGGAAACACATTTAATTAAGGTTTTAACTTAAGGCGGTGGCCTTCTAGTTAAATACTTAAATACACAGTCCGAAGCCATCGATTAACTCACAAGTCACAGAAGGTTGAAGCAGTCGCCGGTCAAGCCATAGCCACCTCCCTGTCCGTCATTGAAGGTTGAAGCATACGACCACCAGTCCAGTTGAGTAACGAATTAACGATTTCTTAGTTGACTAACTTAGTTGACGCTCCTCTATTACTTTACGGCTCCCAGCAAGTATATATTACGTATTAATATATATAAATTATAAATATAACTGTTCTAATATCTAGTATACATGTCATCTTTTCAGTTTTCATCTAGCCCGCTCTGTTTCTGCGATTTCTGAGTTAATCATATTTATAAAACATACTAAATCTTTTCATCCAGCCCGCTATATTACGTAGAAATATGATTTCTTAGTTAATCATATTTATAAATAATAACATACTCCTTTTAAAATACATTTTAATCTGTCAAATATTTTTCTATGTGATCGTTTTTCATCCACTTGGAAGTTGGAAACAAAAATAAAATTTTAGAACCGGAAATTGACTCCCTCATTCTTTGTAATATAAACTGCAATTTGATTGTGAATTTGTGGTTCTTTATTCTATAAAACAATAATTTATTCTACTGGTGATATACTAAATACAGAATTACAGATATGCTCGTATATTAGTTTAATAATAAACTCTTAAACCATTAATTTATTATATGTATATATGTAATATACAATTATACATATAATAGATATACTAAGCTCGTATTAGTTTAATAATAAACTATGAAATATTTGAACCATTAATTAATTAAATAATAAACTATTAAACTATTACAAAAAATATTATATATATAATTACTTAATTACGTATACAGTATACACATAGTTCAACCTTTTGTTTGTATTAGTTTTTATTTGTTAGTTGGATAGTTAATTTTTCATTATTTTATTTTAAACCTTTTTTTATACACAATAGTTATGGCGGACAATGAAGGTGACACCGTGTATGATCCAGCTAAAGATCCGCTTAGAAGAGCAAAATCTAATGATCCAGGATGGAATCATGGATTTTGGCCAGACTTGAACAACAAAGACATAGTCCAATGTAGGCATTGTAATAAGCAAATGTCTTCTGGCATAAAGAGATTAAAACAACATCTAGCTGGCGGGTATGGAGATGTTGCTAAATGTCCTCATACGACAACAGAACTTATGACGGAGATGCGAGCATATTTAATGAGGAAAACCAGGAGTAAACCGATCCAGATTGAAGATGACGGCGATGAGGATGATGCTAAAGTACCTTTCACTCAAATAGATACTTCAACTTCTCAACCGAGTTCTGGGACAGCAACCAAGAGGAAAAATGCTGCTTCGCAATTCTTTAATGTCCCACCAAAAATGCCCAAACAAAACAAATCAATTGCCTCCATCATTCGCAAAACTCCTGAGGAGGTTGTTGATGAAAGACATACGAAAGGCCCCACCCAAACTACACTAGAACAATGCACAAAAAGCAAGGAGGAGAAAGAGAGGGTCTTCATGCACATTGCTGATTTTTTTTATGAAAATGGCATTCCTTTTAATGCAGCAAACTCCAGGAGTTATGAGAATGGTGGAGTCAATTGGGCAGTTTGGACCAGGACTTAAACCTCCTAGCTATCATGAGTTGCGTGTACCACTTCTTGAAAAAGCAAAGAAAAATACAGAGAAGCTCAGAGAAAAACATGAACTTGCTTGGAAGGAATACAAGTGCACACTCATGTCTGACGGATGGTCTGATCGAAGGAATCGACACTTGATTAATTTCCTTGTCAATAGTCCAGAAGGTACTTTTTTCCTAGACTCGGTTGATGCATCAGGTGAATCTCAAGATGCAACATTGCTAGCAGGTTTGCTTGAGAAAAAAATTGAAGAAGTTGGAAAAGACAATGTAGTGCAAGTGTTGACAGACAACGGCTCTAACTATAAGGCTGCGGGAAAGCTTCTAGAGCACAAGATATCCACGCTTTATTGGACTCCATGTGCTGCACATTGTTTGGATTTGATGTTGGAGGATATCGGTAAATTAGCCGATTTCAAGCCCTACATTGAAAAAGCAAGACGTGTGACCACTTTCATTTATCGGCATACAAGAATCCTCCATTCAATGAGACAAAAGACGGGTGGGAAGGATCTTGTAAGACCTGGAGTTACTCGATTTGCAACAGCGTTTCTCACTTTGCAATCTCTATATAAACACAGAGAAGCATTGAGAAATCAATTTAGCGGTCTGGATTGGAGTAGATCTAAATTGGCTGCCACAGAAGCAGGAAAGAAGGTTAGTGCGATTGTGATGTCTGTTAGATACTGGAGTGCAGTGGAAGATTGCATACGAGCTTCACAGCCACTTTTAAATGTCTTGAGGATAGTTGATGCTGATGAGAAACCGGCTATGCTAGAGCTTTCACTAGCCATGGATTGTGCCAAGAAAAAAATTTGCGAGTCATTTGAAAATAAGACTAGACTTTTGAGAAGCCTAGTTCGGATCATTGAGACACGATGGGAAGTCCAGATGGAGGTCAAATTATACGGGGCAGCTTTGTTTTTAAATCCGTCTAAATATTTTGATCTCAAACTAACCGATCCCACATCAGCATCAAAGCAACGATCAATGTTTAACGATGTGCTTGAAAAGATGGTCACCGATGAAACATTGCAGGCCAAGATAAGTGATCAAGCGACAGATTATGACAAATTGAGAGGCAGTTTTGCAAAGCAGCTCGCGATTAGGCAACAAAAATCTAAGAGTCCTCGTAAGTGATACTTTTTATTATTTTTAAAATTTAGTTTAAATATTTTAAAAATTAAATAATATTTTATTTGTGATTAATCTATAGTTGATTGGTGGAATGCTTTTGGTGGACTCGCTGTTGAGCTGCAATCGTTCGCAAAACGCATAGTTAGTCTCTGTTGTACCTCTTCTGGCTGTGAGCGTAATTGGAGCACTTTTGAGTTTGTAAGTAATATACTTACAATTTTGAATACTAACTACATATTTTAAATTACACAAGATTTTAACTAATTAAATCAAAACACTTATCAAATATATTTTATCTTTATTTTAGATTCATACAAAAAGAAGAAGCAGGTTAGAGCATAAGCGGTTGAATGACTTGGTTTTTATTCAATATAATCGGAAGATAGCAACCAGATTTCAGAAGCGGCGTGAAGAAGGAACAAACTTCAACCCTTTAATTTTTGAAGATTTCCAATGGGACAATGAATGGGTCAGCAATGAAGTTGTTCATCCTGGTGATGATCTTCTATGGAGTCAAGTTGATGAAGCCGTGGGTGCATCAAGCAATCTTGAGGGTCGTAATCTTCCTAGAACTAATAGCTCTCGTGGAGAACCGGTTTATTATCGACGTCGTGGTTCGAATTCTTCATTAAGGTTGATTGATGAAGACATGGACAATGAAGAAGAAGAAAGTTTTCCGAATGATGATGAAGATGTTGAAGATGACTATGGCCAAACACCACCCACTCCTACTCATGATGATGATGATGATCAGGACGAAGGCCGTAGAGATGATTTAGTCCTTGATGATTTTTGAGAACTTAGTAGTTTGAACTTTGATCTTTACGCTGCTTATTTGAGATATACATTTTTAATCTTAATTCCCATTAATAAACCTTGTTTTTAATTATTAATTGTGGATTTCAATTCTAAGTTATATACATTTTAGTTAGTAATATATTATACATAATATATAATTAAATATATAATTATGTATGTAAATATATAATTATATATATATAATATATAATATAAAATTATAAATATATAATACACATATAGGCGACTAGTCGCCTAATTGTCGCCTAGGCGGCCGCCTTGTCGCCTAGGCGATATGGCGGTCAGCTGGCGCCGCGACTCGACTTACCGCCGTGACAAGTATGGCTGCGAGAAGTTACAGAGGACACAAGAGCTTCATAATCTTGCAGCAATCCTTCGAGTATAACAATGATATGATCTTTGTTAGAGATCGGTTCACCTACGAGATTAAGGTTGTTAACAATTGTCTGAATTCGAAGCAGGTACTCTGAGATGGATCGTTCCCCTTTTCCGGTGTTATAGAGTTCGGATTTGAGCTGTCTTGCCCTAGCAACGATGTTAGCTTGGAAAAAATTGCGAATCATGCTCCAGAGTTCATACGATCGCTGGCAATGAATAATACAAGCATGTAGGGTTTCGGATAGAAATGAAAGCATCCACGCGAACAACATCTGATCCTGTTGATCCCAGAGAGTGTAAGCCTCATTCACAGTCTCCTTTCCATCTCTATCGGTGATGAATTGCTCAGGAATCTTCGAATTCTCTATGAACCGAACGAGTTTGTGCGCGCGAATCACAGACTCAATATGATATTTCCACAAAAGATAGTTATTCGAGTCTAATTTGATTGGAAGAAGGTGATTGAATGCTATTGGAAAGGCGACACTTCCAGTAGCGGAGGTTGAAGATGAAGTTGAATCAGTTTCCGACATGGTTGATCGAGCTAATGCTCTGATACCATATTAGAAAATGAACTCAGATAGAATAAAGGAGATTCAAATGTTATTGATTATAAGAGTCAATACAAGTATTTATAGTAGAATACAAGTAACTAACTTTAACAGCCTGTAAAACAGCACTAACAGCCCAAAGTATATCTAGAAGGTTTAAAGCTATTTACAATATACGTATGTAACATTATTTTATATTCCTAACAGCTTACAAGTACTCACCATAGGTGTTTTCACACCCTTAGAATGTGACATTCCAACTTTGTGAAGAAGATCTATGATGTATTTGGCCTGTGAAAGGTGCAAACAACCATTAGGAAGCTTTCTGACTTGGATGTCTAAAAAGAAATCTATGTCTCCCAAGTGTTTGAGAGAAAAGGAAGAGTGTAGGGTTTGAATGATGTGTTGGATAACTGTAGAATTATTGCCAATGACAAGAATGTCATCAACATAGATGAGGATGTAAATTTGGATTCCATGCTTTAGGTATATAAGAAGAGAAGGATCACTCTTGCTCTGTTTGAACCCAACATTGTATAAGACTGAAGTGAGCTTGTGAAACCATGCCCTTGGAGTCTGTTTAAGGCCATATAAAGATTTATGTAGTCTGCAAACAACTTGTGACATGTAGACCTCTTCCTCAAGATCCCCATTGAGGAAAGCATTGTTTACATCAAGTTGTTGTCTGGGTTATTTAATCGGCGAGTACTCGGCGAGTACTCCCTACTCGGCCTCCTACCTTGCAGAGTAGCACCTTTACTCGACCCGAGTTAATTATCCGAGTTACTCGCTGAGTACTCGGCGAGTTAGTCAACTCGGTGAATTGGTCAAATGGGCGAGTTACTCGCTACTACTCGGTGTATTAAAAAAACTGCGCACAAAACCTAAAAGTCTAAAACTATTTTAAGCGGTCATATTTTGGGGCTTCGACCAGTGCTGCTACATCGTTAGGAGCTGCGACTGGCAGTGTCGGTCATCTTTTGGGGCTTCGACCAGTGCTGCTTCATTGTTTGGAGCTGCGACTACTAGAAGCTGCCAGTTCTACGAATCTACAGTGCTGCTGGGAGTCACCTGCGAGTGCTACAGGGTTGCTGCGAGGTGCTACAGGTAATTTGTTCCCTCGTTTCTTCTTCCTCTTGTTAAAAAAAAATAAATTGGGATTATTTAAACGGCTGCAGCCGAAATTGTTGACCATTGAATTCCCTGCTACTAAGTTCCTTAGTTATTATGTTACTGAGGCATTAAGTTCCTTTTATTCTATGTATTAAGCATTGATTTTTATATTAATTTTTCCTTGGCAAGTTGGCAGTGCCTGTGTTTGGAGCTTCGTATATTCCCCTCCCCTGTCTGGCTGTCTCGTTTCTTGTTCTAGTAGTAGTAACCAAAAGTGTATCATTTTATTAACAAGCTCTTACAAATGTCTCTGCAATCCAAAACATGCTGACATGTTGTAAGTTTTAAGCTTACTATAATTTATACACTAAGGAAGCTTTAGCTACAATTTTTTTTCCCACAGAATGTAAGCTATTTTGATGTACATTTTTGTTTGGAGTTGCTCAGCTGAATGGTGTGACATTTCTATCTAGTTGAGATACTATATCCTATTCCAAATTATTTTTCTCGTTCATTATTAGGCAGTCAAACCTGTTCTTTTTTTAATCTGGTTTTATGTACTAAGTTTCAAGGTGCATACTATTATAGTCTCCATGAAAAATACACATCTAATCTGGTTTTATTAGATGATTGACTGCTTTATCACTTTCGTTTTATGACTTTTGCTACACCATCATTAGGATAATAGGATTTCTATCCTTTTATTCACTTCTATGCATTTTAAGACAATTTAAAGACTATTTTAAGACTACTATATTTCTGTAATATAGTTATATAGGGCACCTATATTATTATATTTAATTAATACAAGGCCGAGTAATCACCGAGTAATCCCGAGTAATCGGTCCTACTCGCTACTTGGCCCTTGACCGAGTTGCTACCGAGTAGCGAGTAAATAACATAGGTTTTTGTATAGACCATTGATGAGAGAAAGCAAGTGTAAGCAGAAGTCTGATGGTGACAGGTTTGACTACTGGAGAAAATGTTTCTCCAAAGTCAAATCCAAACCTTTGATGAAACCCTTTGGCTACCAACCTGGCTTTGAACTTATTCACAGAGCCATCAGGATTTTCCTTTACTCTGAATACCCATTTGCAACCTATGACCTGCTTGCCTGGAGGAAGAGAGATTAGGGACCAAGTTTTGTTAGATATCAAAGCATTATATTCAGATTGCATGGCTGCAAACCAATGTGGAGAAGAGAGAGCTTGCTTAACTGATTTGGGCTTTATATGAGCCAGCAGTAAGGTTGGATTAAGTCTAGGTTTAACAATCCCAGATTTGGATCTAGTTTGCATTGGATGAGAGTTATGGGGAGGAATTGGAGATGTAGAAGAGGAGGAACCAGATGTTGTGGAATGAGAGTTGACAGTTGTGTCATTAAGGTGATTAGAAGGATTTGAGTCATTTTGAGAGAGTGTTTGATGATGATTGTGAGAATTAGGGTTAACCTGAAGTGTAGTGGATGATGAAGTATGCAAGGAAGAGGAACCGGAAGAGGTACTGGCATCATTGTCAGAGTGGAGTTGGGTGGATGAGGAGGAAGAAAGATTTTTATTGGGGCTGAGAGTGAAACTGGAACATTAGTAGATTTAGTGGATGTGGAAGGAAAAAGAGTGGGATAAGGAAACTTGGTTTCATCAAAAATAACATCCCTGGAGAGATAAATTTTGCCACAAGGGGAAAGACATTTGTAGCCTTTATGATGAGATGAGTATCCTAGAAAAACACGAGCCTTTGAATGGTAATCCAGTTTGTGCTTGTTGTAAGGTCTAGTGAATGGATAGCAAGAACAACCAAAGGCTTTGAGAAAGTAATAATCAGGGAGAGTGCCATAAAATTTGAAATGAGGACTGAGATTGGCAATAGATTTAGATGGAAGTTTGTTGATAAGGTGTAATGCAGTGGCAAATGCAGTGTCCCAGAATTTGAATGGCAAAGAAGAATGAGCTATAATAGACATAGACCTTTTTCAACAATGGTGCGATGTTTCCTCTCAACAACACCATTTTGATGATGTGTACGAGGACAGATAACTCTATGATTGATGCCCTTATCAATGAGAAATTTGGTGAATGACCTGAATTCTCCTCCCCAATCAGATTGTATGGACTTGATAGAAATGTTGAATTGATTTAAGATGTATTGATAGAAGTTTTGAAAAGCTAAGAAGACATCAGATTTCTTTTTGAGAAATTACATCCAACTGTACTTAGTGAAGGCATCAATAAAGGATATATAGTAACAGTAACCATCAAAGGACTGAATAGGAGCTGGTCCCCATAAGTAAGTGTAAATTAGTTCAAAAGGAGAATGAAATACAGTTGTAGAGGGGTAGCATGGTAGTCTGTGAGCTTTACCAAGTCAACAAGCTGAACTGAAGTCCATAGCATTTTTATTTAAATGAGAGATTACAAAGATTGAGTACAGACTTAAGAGCCTCAAAATCAGGATGATCTAGTCTTAAATGCCAAATATTACAAATGGTATTTGACTGAGAGTTATTACAAATAGACATGAGAGAACCGGGACACACAGAACTATGTGGAGAGAACTTGACAATTTTGCAGTAGACTTGTGAGACCCAAGAGCTGGAAATGACTGGAACCTGTAAAGACCATCTTCACCAAGGATCCCATATAGCAGAATTTGTTTAGAAACCTGGGATTTGACAAAGCATTCATGAGGATGAAATTCAAAAAATGCATTGTTATCCTTGGCAAATTGACCGACAATTAATAGGTTTTTAGTGATGGCACGAACATGTAAGATGTTATTGAGAGATAAAGAAAGAGATGAGTGATAAGGAGAGGGAAAGGATGAAAAACCAATAGACTTGATTTCCAAACCTTGACCATTGCCCATAAAAAGCTTATCAGTAGTAGCAATGGGCTCACTGTGTTGGAAGTTGAGCGGATCAGTTGTGACATGATGTGTAGCTCCAGAATCTGGGAACCAGTTTTGAGTATTTGGAGTTGGTCCTAGTATAGAGGAATTTGCAGAAGCCCAGGCTGCAGTTGGCACAGTAGGTGATGAATTGAATTGGGAAGGATGGTTAGGTGATGGAGTATAAGATGGATAACCTGGTTGTACCAAATTGAACTGTGATGGATGGATTGGGTTGTGTGAATATCTTGTTGTGGCTGAAGGAGATGATTGGTATTGGTATTGATTTGGATATGGATTTGCTATGGGAAAAGGAGTCTGTTAAGGTTGGTAAGGCTGGTTTGAGCAAGGATTTTGAGGTTGGTGTATAGTAGAAGGATGAGGATTAGAGATGGTGTAGGCTGGAGTGTATCTGTGCTAACAAACAATTGCACTGTGACCGCTTTTGCCACAAACTTGACAAGTTACCGAGGTTCTACCACCTGAACGACCACCTCTGCCTCTATTAAAACCTCCACGACCTCTACCTCTGTAGGAGGAATTGTCAGTAGAAGTGTCAAATTGAGCAATTTGAGCTGAAGCATTTTCTGAAGTATTCTGAGTTTCAGTTTCAGTGGTTTGAGAAGGAGTTTCAAGTCGAGCAACATTAGCAGAAAAGAGTGTTTGCTGTGAGGAGTCACGGAGTTTTCTCAGTCGTAATTCCTTGGCCAACAAGAGATCTTCAAGTTCAGATACAGTAACAGGATCTAAAATGCTTCGCGAGGTGACAGATGATATAAGCGATTTGTAATCCTCAGGAAGGCCTTCAAGGATCACATTGATGTGATCCTTGGTTGATATAGGCTCACCGACAGATGTTAGGTTATCCACAATTGTCTGAATACGAAGCAAATATTCAAAAATAGAACGATCACCTTTTCCGGTGTTATACAGTTCTGATTTCAGTTGGCGAACTCGTGCGATGATGCTGGAGCAGAAGAATTTCTGAATTTCACTGCATAACTCATGTGAATGATTGCAGCAGATGACGCGAGCATGAAGTGATTCAGAAAGCGAAGCTAAGAGCCAGGAAAACAGCATTTGGTCTTGTTGCTCCCACGTGTTGTATGCTTCGTTCACTGTTTTTGTTCCATTCTCATCAACTGAAAAGTGATCTGGTATCTGATGATTTTCTATGAATTTGAGAAGTTTATGAGCGCGAATCACTGATTCGACATGATGGCGCCAGAACAGGAAATTATTTGAATCGAGTTTAACAGGTAAAGGATAATGAAAGATGATAGGAGAAGTTTGATTGGCAATGTGAGAAGATGATTGCGAGGAAGAAGAATCAGATGTAGAGTTCATCATGGTTAGATCGAGCAAAGCTATGATACCATATTAGAAATGGAGCAAGGTAGAAGATGGAAATGAAATCATCTTATTGAGAATAGAAAGTTACGGAGTATTTATAGAGGTGTAGTCATAACTAACTACAGCTAACATAACAGAAGCCTAACAGATTCTAATTACAAAGTAATACACGTGTAGCATTCATATACTATTCCTAACAAGCGATGTCTGCATCTTCTCCAGCGAATCCACCCCTTCTCCATTCTTGCTCTGATACCAATGATAGAACACTGGTAAATCCGACTCACAAAAGTAGAGAATTAGGAAGTATTGATCGAGAAAACTGATCAAGAAATCTTATTTGATGTGAATAGTAGTTTACAAAAGGAATACAGTAGCCACAGACAATTCGAGATGCCCAGTCTCTCGGTCTATTCCCAACTGAATACTTGTCTACCTCTTTTGCCTCCCCTCCCTTTCTATTTATACTACAAGCACACTTATGATTATCTACATGTACACATTATTATTATTATTATTATTATTATTATTATTATTATTATTATTATTATTATTATTATTATTATTATTAGCCTGATAGGCCTGATTCCTATCAGGTCCCTATCACCGATTCCTATCAGGTCCCTATCAGTAGTTTAGGAATATAATCTAGGATATTATTAAATACTCTTATAGGAGTAATCTATCTTTGTAGTGTATATTTGTAGGGACTTAAACCTTTCAATAAAAACACAAAAAATCCTTCTGTCTTCTATATTGCTCTATCTTATACTCTCTGTTTCAACATTGGCCAACTTTCCCAGTTTGTGGAGGGTGGATGATTCAATGCATACCTGAGCCAATAAATCAATCGTTCTTCGTAAAAGGCGGGCAAGGTCTCCTTCATCCATAGCAGAGTCTATCATAATCTCCCTCCAGTTTAAACCAGAGGCCCAAGCTTCAACCATGCCAGAAAATTGGCTATCCAAGCAGCAAGATATCTATGCATTTAATAAAACAAATCATCTCCCTATTATATATGCAAAGAAAAATAGTCACTGATGACTGGTATACCAATCAAACACTCACATTTACCCCATGCTTCTCTTGAAGTTCTACAAATGTGATTCTTTGTTCTTCTAATAAGTTGATGACATCCAAGACAATGGCAGAAGGTTCATATATGTAACTGTAGAAAGAAGATGTATGACACTGTTTCATGCTATTCTACAACCCCATTCAAGTGTATCTAGTATAGCAGAAAGAATAAATTAATTCAATAATGATTTTTTGTAAGAATCAGTCATAACAAGAATCAGATTTTGTTCGGGTAAAGTTTGATGAAAGTGGTTTTAAAATAAACTAATGAAACTAGTGAACAAAACCATTCTAAAAGAGCAGAATGTTCCGAAACATGATCAGCTAAAGTAGGTTCCTAAGCAAGCTCTTACACACTCAATTCATCAGCCTGTTGAATGTAAGAGCAAAGAAATAAAAGCACTAGGTACAGCCTAGGCGGCTAGAGCCTAGCGCTGGGCCTAAGCGGTGAAAACATAATGAAGTTCAAGGACAGCTTTGTGCCTAGGCAGGGACATGCAGGAACTTAACAGCATGCACCTCTTGTAAGAAAATAAGATACATGTTGCTTAGTCAGATACCTGTTGCTTTTTGAAGGCCTGAGTTTTATCCCTTCTGAAACTAGACTTCCACAGACAGCAGCAAGTTGTGCAGGTTTCATGCTTAGCAACAATTTACTTCGAAGAACCATGGCAAACCAGAGCTCATTTTCTCCTCGAATTGCTGCTGCTGTTTCACCAAGTGGAAATGTTACAAATGTATTGATATCCAATGCCCTGCTTCCATGAATTACATTGCTGACCTAGCATCAACAAAGGATTACTTTTCTTTTGTGAAAGATATTATAAGAATATGCTTTTGGAATATACTCTAGATATTATTAGTGTATAGCATATTAGCATCTTAAATAGGAATATTCCATCTTTGTAATCTATATATAGGGCCTTAACCCTTCAATCAAATTACACAGAAAATTCCTTTCTCCTCTCTTCATTATTATTGTTGTTATTGTTATTATTATTATTATTATTATTATTCTAGTTTATATTTCAACATGGTATCAGAGCCATTATCCCAATTTTTACAGTTTATTTCAGCCTAATTTTACAGCCCAGAACTTGAACCTTCCCCAGAACCTCTGTCCTTCCATTACAGCTTTACAGTCCAGAACATCAGCCAACACTTAGATCAAAACCTTAGTCCAAAATCTATCTCACTTCCATCATACTCTGGTTCGCCTGCTGCTGCCGGAAGTCCGTGACGGAAAATCGATGCGCATGAGGCACATGCGCTGCCGGAAGTTTACGCCGACAGCCGCACCCGCCGGCGCGTGGTGTCTTTGTGCTGGCCAGAATTTTCGCCGGACGCCACCCGTTGACTCGTCTGAATGATCTCTATCCTCCGGTGTTATCCACCTCTAGGTTTTCTTGATTTCGAATTTCATCTCCTGTTCATCCACCTGGAACTTCTGTGTGTTTAAAAATCCTGGTGCGGTGAGCATGGAGGAAGCTTCATAAGTTTGCCTGGAATACATAGAGCCCGTTTGGTAGCACGAAAATCGGCTTTTTTGGCTGATTCTGCTGAAATTTATGAAGTTCTGGCTGAAGTGGCTGTTTTGGCTGATTCTGATGATTCAAGAAAAAAAAATTTTAAAAATACGATAGTATATTTTATTAATAAATTAAAGAAAAAATTACATGTAAAAATAGCTAAAATGGTCCTCTGCAGTAACTTCAGCCAATACAGCCAGAAAAGTAACTCCAACCTTACTTTTTCTGCTTATTACACAATTCAGCACACGAAAGTAAAAGTTACGTGTTTGGTGAAAAAGCTGGCTGATAAGCCTGATAAGCCGAAAAAAGAGGTCTCCAAACGGGCTCATAACCAGTTATCTTTTTTATGTTAGTGATTTTGAGTTATATAACTGTCGACTCAAAGAAAAAAAATGTCTTGTCCAGGTGATTTTGAAAGATGATTAATATACAATTAGTGTAAGAGATCCAGACACTTGATTAAAATATGTAGAAAGTTGGCATTTAAAAATCAAGGAAATGTGGTTGCTCATGTTGTTTCCGCTACCAACTCATCTGATGGATCAATTGCTATTTCTTCGGATGAGTATGCCAAATTTATTTGCTACCAAGAATCTCTAAAGCATTCATGTGCCCCTATCTCGGTAGTCGCTCATTCAGGTATTTCAAATACATGTCTTGTTTCATCATCCTCGAAATGGGTCATTAACTCAGATGCCACAGATCATATGATCGGTAATCCTAGTCTATTCTTGTCATTGCATTCATATTTACCTAATTTTAGTGTCAATTTAGCTAACGGGTCTACATCACCCGTTCTTAGATCCGGTACTGTTGTCCCAACTTATACATTACCATTATCGCTTGTTTTGAGTCTTCCTAATTTTGCTTTTAATCTGCTATCCATCAGTAAAATCACACGTACCTTAATTGTTCTGTAACATTTTTCCCCGGATATTGCGTGTTTCAGGATCTATTAGTGAAGCGGACTATTGGTAAAGGACATGAGTTAGCTGGTCTTTATATATTAAATACATCAATCACAAAAGGTATCTTTTGTCTTGGGGTTGGGACTTTATTAGAGGCTGATTACCGATTAGGACATCCATCTCTCCCATTAATGAAGCAAATAAACCCTCAATTCAATAAGATGATAGGGACCTAGATAATGTTAGCGATAAGAATAATATAGTCTTTTAATAGTGTATAATAAAAGGGGCTGTAACTAAATAGCAGTGGGCTGGCCCATAAGGAACATAATAAATATGAGTTGGGGCATAGAAGAAAGCAGGCAGAAATTGAGAATATGAACTGAGACTCTTGGGATAGATAGGCACTCTCGAACTTGCCTCTATACTTCTTCTATTACGTTTCTTCTGTTGCTTTGTAATTTCCTAAGAATATCTGAGGATTTCTCAGAATTCCTTGATTGAATATACTACTGTTTTTACTGTTTGGATCGTACCTATCATTGGTATCAGAGCAGTTGATTCTGGTGCTGGGAATTGTGTCGCAATACCAGAAAATTTCTATTTCAGTTGTGGAAGGTCTGGATGAGAGCCAAAATGAGAACAGAACGGAAACAATAGAGCGGAACCATACCTCGATGGAAAAAGTTGCAATGAATTTGGCGACAATACAGGAGACACTCACGAAGATGAACAGCAACCGAAATTGACCGAGGCATCAATAGCTCACTCCGTGCAGCTCGTAGCGCACTTCGCATCTCGGAGACGCGAGAAATTCTGATCATTCTCGTTCTAGTGTGGATCGCGATAGCAGTAGAAGACCTGTTCGTACAGGAAGAAAGGTTGATTTATCATTGTTTAGGATGGAAGGGTATTTCCGTCTCAAGACTACTGTGGAAAAAGATAAAGTGGAAGTAGCAGTAGGTGTGATGGAGGAAAGGGCATTAGGCCTGGTTTCCATGGTGGGAAACTCAAACGAGAGAAAAGAATTGGCCCAATTGGGAGGCTTTGAAGGAAGCCATAACTCGACGTTTTCAACCTACATGCAGTCGAAAGATAGAGAGCCAGGGTTCGCGATCGCCAAAAACTTCTTTCAGTTCGCAATCTTGGTCACGAACTGTTTCTCACAGTTCATCATCGCAAGCAGTTTCTCACAATAGTCCGCATATGTCATCGCCATCCCAAACAGCTTCTACCAGTTTGCAGGTTTCCTCGCCAACATCTTCTTCCAGTTTGCAATCTTTTACGCAAGTCATGTCTCCAGGTTCGCAGACTTTATCATACGCTAGCAGTTCACTTCAAGGTACGATGCGACCAGAAGGAGAAGCTTCCAGTTCGCCATTGTTGTCCGAGTCGCAGGAGTCTGGCAATCCACAGCAACCTCTCTCTAAAGATACGTTCATTGATAGTGATGAGGGAGGAAAGGAGAAATCTGTTGTGGTGACTCAATCCTCTATTTCCATGGAATATGAATCTGTCGTTGATAAATTTGCTGGTTCAAATACTTGGGAAAGCTCTACAGGGAATATCCACATCGAGGAAACTGAGGAAATAGAAGAGGGGAATGATGGAAAGAAGCTTCAGGGAATCATCAGCGCAGATACTGATGCTACTGAGGAACTAATCAAACAAGGATGGATAACGAAGATTGAAAAGCATGGTTGTGTTGTTCGGTTCTACAATGGCTTGCGAGGTTTTACTTCCGAGTCTGAGTGTGGATTAGATCCGAGCTCTGAATCAAACTCAAGTTATCATATTGCACCAAAGAAATTCTTGTATATTCTGATGCATTGGAGGCTCGGGTGACTACATTAAGTAAGGAGGTTAAGAATTCACGAAATATCATCATTCTTATTGAAGTCCCTACTTTAAGTGGTTCTGGCATGGATAGGAGAGGAAGAACGGAATTCGAACTTGACATTGATGGCAACGTCAAATTGGATGAAAGGAGGAGACAGATTCAAGAGTTCATTGATGTGAATAGCCTTTATATGATATTACTTCTGAGTACAAGAGATGGTGAATGGGGAATATATCTAAATAATCCTAAATCTGAAAATCATTTGGGGGATGGTGAGACTGCACTAGGGAGCATGAAGCTGTGATAGAAAGCATATTCTTTCCTAAGATTCATAATGGAGTGCAGCAATTTGTTTCTGAGAAAAGAATAAGCTATGTTTGTATTGATGGGCAGTCTTCTATACAATCATTCCATAACTCAAAAGAGGCTGAAGAAAAAGGTCATAGACAAGAGCAAAAGAATGCAGTCAACCTGTATATCCTTTATGCAAAGGATACCTCAGATGAAGCTCATTGGCAGAACTTGAATAAAAGTTTGCATCCAAAGTATGAGGCAGTCCAGGAAATAGAAGTTGATATTGTTTCTTACCTTGAAAGAACTGCTGGAATTGAAGAGAAGCCATATGAAAGGAAAAATGGTGAAAGTCTTTCACAGCCAATAGAAAATGAGAATGGTTGTTATAAGGAATCAAATAAGATGATGGCTAATGGTTATCAAAAGCAGAATGAGAGTTTTGCATGTCCATCATCTTCTTGTGCAAACAACCTTGAGCAAGCAACTACCAATACCAATTATTGTGACCTTCTCATTGTTGAAGCTCTCGGTCCAAATGGGAAGATTTTGCCACTTCATGTATCCGAGCTGAAGTATTGGGAAGGCAGAGGCGTGAGGAAGAAGCTGAATGACATGGCTATTTTTTACTCCCCACCTTGAGGACAAAGTGGTTGTCAAAGGGGGGTAATGATAGGGACCTAGATAATGTTTATTAAAAGACTATAATGTTTATTATTCTTATCACTGTGTATAATAAAAGGGGTTTAGGCCCTGTAACTAAATAGCAGTGGGCTGGCCCATAACGAACATTATAAATATGAGTTGGGCGTAGAAGAAAGCAGGCAGAATTTGAGAATAAGAACTGGGACTCTTGGGAGAGATAGGCACTCTCTAACTTGCCTCTATACTTCTTCTATTACGTTTCTTTCGTTGCTTTGTAATTTCCTAAGAATATCTGAGGATTTCTCAGAATTCCTTGATTGAATATACTACTATTTTTACTGTTTGGAACGATACCTATCATAAGATGGCATCTTTACAACGTGAGTCATGTCAATTTGTGAAGCACCATTGTACTAGCTTGAGCCCTCGAGTTAATAAATGAGCAAATGCTCCATTTGACCTTGTTCATTCTGATGTTTGGGGTGCTTGCTTGGTTGTGTCAAAGCTGGTTGTATTTCATGAAACGCCTATATGAGTTGTTTACTCATTTTTCATATTTTTGTGCTGAAATTAAAACTCAGTTTAACGTTCCTGTTCGGGTGTTCAGAGGAGACAATGCCCAAGAATATCTATATGCTACATTTAAGTCATTTATGCTTCAGAATTGCATAATTCATCAAACTTCATGTGTTGACACACCTCCACAAAATGGGGTTGCGGAACGAAAGAGCCAACATCTGTCACAAACTGCAAGAGCTCTTCTATTCCAAATGAATGTGCCTAAACAAATTTGGGTTGATGTCGTGTCTACCGCACGTTTTTTGATAAATCGTATGCCGTCTTCTGTTTTGAATGGTAAAGCTCTTTATCACTGTCTATTTCCAAATAAAGAGCTTTTTTCTATCCCACCTAAAATATTTGGCTGTACCTGTTTTGTTAGAGATGTTAATCCTCATCTTACAAAGCTAGATCCCAAAACTTTAGAATGTATTTTCTTAGGTTAGTTTAAATGTATCTTGTTTCTATTGATGCATCATTTCATGAAAATACACCTTTTTCATCTTCTAAGCCAGATATTCATGAGAATAATGATGACACTCATTAACATGATGACTATACTTGAGTCCACACCTTTGACAATTATTCCACAAGTTACAGTTCCTGACCCTAGGCCTCCAATATACTTGGTATACACCCTTCGACACAAAGCACCAGATCACCCTCCATTTGTGACATTTGTGATTACTTATCCTGATATTGGTCTGACCTCGATCTCACGTCCTGAACCAAGTAACTGCATCACCAGATCTTGGCCTCCCGATAGCACTACATAAAGGTACACGATCTTGTACTCATCATATTTCTTCGTTATCCCCTGCCTCATGTTCTTTTATTGCTTCCATTGATTTTATTTTTGTTTCCAAATCTATTGAAGAAGGTTTGTCTCATCCTGAATGGCGTCATGTCATGGTAGAGGAAACGAATGCTTTAGATCTTAATGGTACTTTGGATTTGGTAGACTTGCCTACAGGGAAGAAGTATATTGGATGTAAGTGGGTCTTTGTTGTTAAGGTTATCCCAGTTGCTCGGTTGAACGTCCGATTAGTTGCGAAGGGTTATGCTCAAACCTATGGCGTTGATTATTCTGACACTTTTTCTCATGTTAAATTAACATCCGTGAGGTTACTTATTTTATTTACCGCAACTCATGGTTGTCACTTGCATCAATTAGACATTAAAAATGCATTCTTGCATGGTGACCTTCAGGAGGAAGTTTATATCGAGCAACCTCCGGGATTTGTTGCACAAGGGAGTATGGGAAAGTTTGTCTACTTCGCAAGTCACTTTATGGTCTGAAACAAAGTCCCCGTGCATGATTTGGAAAATTCAATCAATCAATTAAAAGTTATGGAATGATAAAAGGTCAATCGGATCACTCTGTCTTTTACAGACGGACGAAAGCAGGTGTCACATTGTTAGTTATGTGTGTTGATGATATTGTGATTACAGGGAATGATAATGCAAGTATTTTGGCCCTTAAGAATTTTCTTAAGGGTCAATTCCAGACAAAAGATCTTGGCTCATTGAAATACTTCATGGGATTGAGATAACACAGAGTAAGAAAGACATAATTCTATCTCAACGTAAATATGTACTTGACTTGATAGCTGAAAGAGGGAAATTAGGGGCAAAAGTGAGCAATAGTCCCATGATTCCCAATGTGCAACCCACTCAAGACGGCATGCCATTCGAAGATCCGGAAAGATATAGAAGATTGGTTGGAAAGCTTAATTATATTGCAGTAAACCGTCCAAATATTGTGTACTCAGTGAGTATAGTGAGTCAATATATGTCATCTCCGACAGTTGATCATCTAAGTAGCACCGGTACGGAAACGGAAACAGGGACGGAAACGGGGAAACCTTAATCTCCAAAATTAAGGGTACGGGTACGGCGAGGAAACATCGCACTAAAAACTAAAGTATTAGTAATAAAACAAGATGACTATTAAGTAAAAAAGCACAATAAAAATCAGTTTATTCACTAAACTTTATAGTTTTTAAGAAATTTATTTATTTGAATAAACTTTTTTATTGACTAAACAAAACAAAGTTACAAAAGCAAAAGAAAAATAAAAGTAACTCATAAAATGATAAAAGTAACTCATACATATGAGGCAGTACGCACAACCGCACGGTTTAATACTAGTATACTAACCGTACCATAAATCCGACAACTGCAATCGGTGAAGGGCGAAGGGCGAAGCTGATTACTTGAACACAGACGGTTGGCGGCTGCAATCGGCGAAGGGTGAAGGACGAAGGGCGAAGCTGACTGGACCGCTGGAGGCAAGACAGAATTGGAACTGCTCCCTTGCGGACGATTAACAGAGCAATTAAGGTTAGGTTGGGGCGTTGGGGCGCTGCGTTTTTTTTTTAAATTTTGGCCCGGAAACGTTTCTATGGGCTGATGTGGCATTTCCTTAAGTGTTTCCGGATCTATATCCGACCCAAAAACGGGCCGAGAAGCGGGTCGTCGTTTCCTGGCTGTTTCCATGCGTTTCCGGATGTTTCCCGTTTCCGGGACGTTTCGGAAGCGGAAACCTGGACCCTTTTGGGGTTTCCGTGCATCCTAGTTGATCATTGGAATGTTGTAGAACATATATTATGTTACTTGAAGGGGACTCCGGGACGAGGTATTGTTTATCAAAACCATGATCACACAAGAATAGAATGTTTTGCATATGCTATATGGGTTGGATATAAAGATGATAGAAGATCTACATCTAGTTATTACGTCTTCGTTGGTGGTTACCTAATATCCTGGAAGAGTAAGAAGCAGAATGTGGTTTCTCGGTCTAGTGTTGAATCAAAATATCGTGATATGGCACAATCGACATGTGAGATAATCTGGATAAACCATTTATTAAGTGAAATTGGATTGAAGGCACCAATGTCTGCTAAGTTGTGGTGCGATAACCAAGCTGCTACATACATAGCAAACAACCAAGTATTTCATGAGAGAACAAAGCATATTGAGATTGGTTGCCATTTTATTCGAGATAAGATGGATTGATCTCTACCGGATATGTGAAAACTGGAGAACAACTTGGAGATTTGTTCACTAAAGCTCTAAATGGGATTCGAGTTGATTACTTATGTAACAAGTTGGGCATGATAAATGTCTATGCTCCAACTTGAGGGTGTGTGTGAAAGATATTATAAGAATATGCTTTAGGAATATACTCTAGATATTATTAGTGTATAGCATATTATCATCTTATATAGGAATATTCCATCTTTGTAATCTTTATATATAGGGCCTTAACTCTTCAATCAAATTACACAGAAAATTCCTCTCCTCTCTTCATTATTATTAGGAAAAGTTCCTGAAATAGGAATAAAACAGTTTGAAAATTCTAAAATAGGACTGTCATGTTTTTTATTCCAAAAATAGGAGTAATTACTGCCAAGTTTAAAAAATAATGCCATGTTTGAAGTCTGGTACTGCCAAAACATGGAAGTAATTAGTCCTAATTTGCGAATAAAAACATGGCAGTCCTATTTTGGAATTTTCAAACCTTTTTAGTCCTATTTCAGGTTATATTCTCTTATTATTATTATTATTATTCTAGTTTATATTTCAACATCTTTCTTTTTGGATATTCAACCAATAGGTTTCAATAAAATTTAAAGAGCCACTGGGAAAGCATTCATTTTCATTTTCATTTTCATTTACCCCAGTGCCGCAAAGGCTCCCACCTACGGTGGGGTAAGGGGGGGTCAGATGTACGCAGTCTTACCCCTATACTAAAGCACAGAGAGACTGTTTCCGGATGACCCATAGTGAAAATCGCGTCCAAAATTGCATGGACTGACTGCTGCTTCATTACAAAGAAGCAGCAGACAGTTTACTGAGCCATTTTGCTTTATTCCATCATAATCTCAAGCCAAAAAATAATGAATCTTTGGCTCCATTGCAAATGATGGAAATAGTCTCAGTAATGAGAGCAAGGAAAGCAATTTATTCATATTATGTCCAACCTGTATAAAGTCTTTCCACCCAATCGGCTCAATCTGTTCAACCCGCTTCCTTAAGCGATTTGATCTGACCTTCAACCTTCGAATTTTCTCCTCCGTGAATCTAACCATATCTTTGATCTTCTTGAACTCTTTAAATCCTTCTGATCGTGATATCCTTTTCTTTAGATGAGAAACTTTATTTCTTTGGTCACTATAGCTTTCTAATGCCTCATTGTATGCTTGAGAAAATTTGATGGCCTAACCACAAAAGGTAACCAGTCAACTGATGAGTTGATAAATCAGAACAAAATTGTTGTTTGATAATAAGGAATACCATCAGTATGTAATCATTATACTCTAGCATCAGTAAGCTACTTTAGAAGCAATACAATCGGGTGTTCACTGGCCATATCATGATTATGTAGTGTTCCAGCAAAATAAAACCTAATGACTCTTTAACGCACAAACGTAGGAACATCTATATAATGGAAGTTGTATTATCCTCCTCTAACCCATTATTTATTGCTGTACTGTTTTATTGGGCATTTGTCTATTTAAATACGTTCACACTGATTATTGATGTTTTGAAATTTGATGAGTTTAATGTTAAGACAAGAAAAGTGACTGCACACTACCTCAATACCACATTATGTGGCCACATTTGACTTTTGTGGTGAAAAATTTTGAAACATTGACCAATGATACATGTGTGTATAAAATGATTTCGAATGCTTATATGAAAAAGTGGTCTTCATCAAGAAAAATCTCATAAAATCTCATTTGCAAGTGTTCAACATCTGTGTCAAATAAGGCCTACTTAAGCGAAATTTTTTGATTCAGTTTACACTTAGGACCCAATATAGGATGCAAGAATTGGAACATGAACATCAAATATAGGCATGGAAGTGTTTGTTAAAATAATAGTACTTTGGATAGATTCGTGCCTGACTCATGAGCAATGATATCAGGTTGGTCAACTAAACTTTCAACCTAACCAAAATGATGCGATAAATGAAAATGTGCATGCATTTGTGCACTGATAAACCATGCTGATGCAATGTAACAACCTCATCATCCTCAGAAAGTGTACTCAAAACTGGCACATTCAAACTCCAAGACCATGTCTCTAAAGATCCCTCCATGCACCACAAACCTCCAAACTCGGACTCTGTCAGCTTCTGCCATTGCATAGCCCCCTTCTCGACAAGTTCTGTCATAATATTACGAGGCAAAGCATCACTTTGAGCTAAAGCAACATTTGGGAAGCCTGTCCTGTAGACTGTTTTAATCCACTTTTCGGTGAAAAGATACCAAGAGTTATCTGAGCCAAGAGCCACATGGTAGCATGGCTTAAAATTATCTTCACTTTCACCTCCGTCATATTCATTACTTTCTGCTTCTATATTTAGAGCAAACATATCAGAGCAGTTAACCTGAAAGGAGATAAAATAATATTACTGAATAATGAAAAGAAACCTGAACCAATTTTTAAAAGTCTGAGACCAGAAAAGCTAAGGCAGACCATTCACACAGAAGTGACTAAAACTGTCATCATATTTAATACTACGTAGTATTTACTGAGGCAAAAATACTTCTTTTGTTTAAATTAGACAATACATACCAAATTCTTAAGTTTTGGAGCAGTAAGCAAATCAAGACTTCCCAAATACACAGAGGCAACTAAATATTGAACTCCATCTGCACCATTGTACTGCAAACAAACAAATGGTAGATGGCCGTCCTGAAGCTCCTTCAACAAAGGCTTCAAAGAAAGCATTCTTTCCATTTCCATTCTTCTTCGCAGTGTAGTACGCAAGCGTTTTTCAGCCTAATAAAATCCAGTTGAGTTGTCCCAAATGAACAAGCATTAGTATTATATTGCCATTAATAAGAGATGGAAATGTGAAAAATAAACTAGCCTGAAAATAAATACCCACTCACAAAATATAAAACAAAGTTTGCTCAAGGTACAACTTCATAGTTTTGGCAAGGTACAACTGCTAAATGATATGAAATCCTACTTAAATGTTTCAGAGTTATTCGATATTTTAACTAGATTTATCATATTTAACTTGTTTGTTGACTTTGATAAATCTACCAACAGCCACTACATTACATACACACTTAAGATAAGAGTATGAAATATCTGAACCATGATTATTAGGAAAGAACCGAAGGGGTAAGCGATGTATGTACTTTTAATTCTTCCTGAAGATTGGAAATCTCCTCATGAGCCAATCGTGACAGGAGCTTCTGGCTCTTTCTATCAATTGCTTCATCACTTATTTCTGAAGAGAGTATCTCAATCTCCTTTCCTATTCTAGAAAGCTCGTCTTTGGCTGCAACCATCACATTGCTCCCAACATAATTTCCAAAACTCTGTTCAATTAATTTTTTTGCTTCTTCGAGAGTGCGTCCTCCTCGTGAAGTTTTAAGCCCATCTGACTCAGTTGATCCATGTGTGACCTTCGTCCCCTGGAGAAGAATAACTCATAAATTTGTATATCTTATATGAATAGTGATGAAAAAACTTGTTGAGTTGAAGCACATACTGCTAGAAGATTTAGCACCATTCCATAAGAAGCCGTAAATTGTGAGACAAGGGGTTGAAGCCCAGAAGACAGAAGTTTGCAGCCCTCTTCAGGACCTTCGTACGGGGATTGAACAATGATTACGTGACCCATTTCATCAATACCCCTACGGCCAGCTCGGCCAGCCATTTGGAACAACTCATTTGAGCTTAATGAAACACGTCCACTTTCAGCCCTCTTGCTGAGAGATGAAATAACTGCTGTTCGGGCAGGCATGTTAATTCCAGCAGCAAGTGTCTCAGTTGCAAAGACAACCTTAACAAGTCCTCGCTGAAATAGCTCTTCAATAAATGACTTCCACAAAGGAAGACAGCCAGCATGATGTGCAGCCAACCCTTGTCGAAGACCCTTCACAGAGGAATCCCTCACTGCATCAGGGTATTGAACACGGAATCTTTTCAAGGCGAGATCAACTTCACACACTTCACGCTCATCTAGTAGCTTACAGTTTTCAAGATACTGAACAGCTGCATCACATCCCTTCCTACTAAAGATGAACCACACTGCTGGAAGTATATCCCTTTCCTTTAGTTGCCATAATGTGTCAACAACCCGGGGCACCTGAATATATTGAAACCAAAACAAGAAATCATACAAAGTGTTGTTATGTTCACCTTTTTTTGTTTATCACTTATACTTAAGTTAATGAGATCAGACAAGACTAGACCAGATTCAAATAAAAAATGACCAGATTAGATCTTCTATTTCAAACAAGGAAACTAGACAAGCACAAACACTCAAATTATAACAGATCCATTGTTTGCAACTGCAAAATGGAATTGCGTCTCATGGCACGCCTCAGCTAATTTCTGGACTATGGCATAAAAGGCATCGTCTATGGCGTTGGGAGTGTGGCGTACGCAATATTGCATCACGGCGTACGCAATACTGCATATGCAATAAGGCGCGGAGAGGCGTACGCAATAGGAAATCAGGGTGTAAGGGTATTATTATGGGCCCATTCGGCCCACAATTAATTTTATAATTGATGTAAGATCCCTATTTCAAACCACTATATATTGATGATTCGATTTTTCAGTCATCAGTCTAATAAATTTAAATTTTGATATGTTACGAATTTTGTTTTGGTGAACTGTTTAGAATTTGTCAGTATTATGTGGTACTTTTAACATATTACTTTGCTAGGATTATGATCTCTTATAATTTGTTTTAATATGACATTTGATGACTTATGATGAATAAGTTTTACTACCTCCGTCTCAATTTGATGGTACCAGTTCTTATTCATTTGGTCAACACAAATCACTTAAAATCTCTTACTTTATATATCAACTTTTTATCAAATTTGATTCTGGATTTTGCGACTTTGTAAATCTTTTAATGTAGTGTCTGAATATGTCATTTTTTTCTAAAAATAATTTGAGTGCAGACGCAGATCTGTTTGCTTTATCGTCACTCAAACTTCGTAAACCGCAATGGTATCATCGAATTGGGACGGAGGTAGTATGTTTTATGTTTATAACTTTATATACAAATATATATAGAGGACTGGTCTGGTCAGGCGCGTCTGACCACGTGTCCCGTACGGCCAAGCCTATTTGAGTGTCTTCCGGGTCGAATTTTGGATGAAATGTTTTTAGCATGTTCTTCATGAAATGCAGATGATGTCCACAAAATTTCAACTTCAAATTCAATCGGGAAGTCACTTAAGTAAATTAGTTAGAAAGACTGTGTTATATATATATATAGAGAGAGAGAGTGTTAGAGCTACAGGAAGTCAGCCTATTGATAATAATAATAATAGTATTAGCTATTATGACAAAGTGTATTCCAGAAGGAAAGGGAATAATAAGTAGCTGGGAGTTGTAATAAGGGGTCGGGTAGACTTCTATAAATAGATAGCTACAGGAGAAATAAGGCAGGCTGTAATTTGGTAGTTGGCTGGGACTGGAGAGTTGACATCTCTTTAACTGTCTGGCACTCTCTCTCTCTTTTCTGTTGATTGAATAACAAATCCGTTCATCTCTATTCTCTTTTCTGTCGCAATCCTCATAGATACTTAACATTTGGTATCAGAGCAGTGATTCTGCTACCGGTACATGGTTGCTACAAGGGGGACGATGGAAGCAAGGCTGGAAAATCTGGAACGCGAGCTGGAAAAAAATCGCGAGGAAGCAAAACGTGACAGCGAAGAATTACGCGAGCTGATTTTGCAGCGTAACGATCGCGATTCACGAGGAAGGTCAAAAAACGATCAGGAGACGCGTGAGGGATGATAGTCGTGACTCCTATTCGTCTGAAGGTAATCATCGCTCTTCATCTTCTAGGCGCGAGGACGATTACAGCAATTGGATTAAGAAATCTGGTCGGAAAGTAGATTTACCACTTTTCAATGGTCAGGATGCATATGGATGGACTATTAAAGTGGAAAGATTTTTTAAAATGAATCGGATAGCAGAAGATGATAAGGTTGAATTGATTACTCTGGCTATGGAAGAAAAGGCTTTAAACTGGTTTCAATGGTGGGAGGAACATTCTAATGTAAGAAGTTGGGAACAGTTTAAAGATGATTTGATTCGTAGATTTCAACCTGGACTGTTACCGGATCCGTATGGTCCTTTATTGAGTATTACGCAAACAGGTAGTGTGATGGACTATAGAGAGCAATTTGAACTGATTGTAGCTCCTCTGAAACATACTGATGTGAAGATTCTGAAGGGAATATTTCTGAAAGGGTTGAAGCCTGAAATCAGAGCTGAATTGAAGCTTAACCCTGTTAAAACTCTTGCAGAATTAATGGATAAAGCTTTAATGGTTGAAGAGAGGAATCAGACTTTGAATATAAGCAGGTACAAGGAGGATGAGAAAAGAGGATTGAAGGAGAGGGTGAATATTTCAACAAACTCTCACAGATGGTTAAATGAGAACAAGTGGAAGAGCAGTTTGGGTAACCAGACTAATTTAGATAAGTCTGCCATGGAGAAGAACATTGATTTGAGCAATAAAGGTGCTGCAGTAAGGGGAACACAAAGATTGTCTCAATCTGAATTACAGGAGTTGAGTAGAAAGGGCCTCTGTTTCAAGTGTGGAGAAAAATGGGGTAAAGATCATATATGTAAGATGAAACACTTTCAGATCATCATGTTAGATGAATCTGAGGAGGAGGAGGAGGAATTGGGGAGTAATGCTATAGAACCTGCCTCCCCATTGGAAGAAACAGACTTCAGTAATATGCAGCTATCTCTTATGAGCAAGGAAGGTATCACCACTCCTAAGACTTTTAAATTGAAGGGAAGGTTAAGGAGTAGCAAGGGAGATAAAACCATCATCATTCTGATTGACTGTGGGGCCACCCACAACTTTATATCACACCAGGTGGTTCAAGCAGCAGGATTACCTGTCCTCCAGATTCCAGAATTCAAGGTTGAGATAGGGAATGGAGACATAATCAGAAATAATGGGAGGTGTGAAGCTGTTTCTCTTAACATACAGCAAACTGACATTATTCAAGACTTTTATATCTTAGAGCTGGGGGAAATTGAGATGGTTCTGGGACTGGAATGGTTAGCAAGTTTGGGAAATGTTGAATTTAATTTCAGCCAGCTAACTATCAAATGGAAGGAAAAAGGGAAAGTGATGAAGCTTCAGGGAGATACTAATCTCAGCAGAAATCAAGCATCTTTTAAATCAATCATTAAAAGCATGCAAGAGCAGAAAGGAGGGTATTGTTTGTTTAGCAGTTCAGTGTCTGAAAGCAAGAGGGAAGAAGGAAAAGATGACCCTTAGGTACAGGAAATGATCACAGAGTTTGCTGAGGTTTTCCAACCCCCAACTGGTTTACCTCCAAAAAGAGAATGTGACCATGCCATTACTATCAAAGAAGGTGAGAATCCTCCCAATATTAGACCTTACAGATATCCGCAGTATCAGAAGAATGAGATAGAAAAAATTGTGCAGGAATTGTTAAAAACAGGCATTATCAGGCCTAGTACCAGTCCCTATAGTAGTCCTGTGCTCATGGTGAAGAAAAAGGATGGGGGCTGGAGATTTTGTGGAGATTACCGAGCCCTAAATAAAATCACAGTTCCTGATAAATTCCCTATTCCTATGATAGAAGAGCTCTTAGATGAACTGGGGGGAGCACAGATTTTTTCTAAATTAGACTTGAAGTCTGGTTACCATCAAATCAGGGTGAAAGAAGAAGATATTCACAAAACAGCTATCAGGACACATGAAGGTCACTATGAATACATAGTAATGCCTTTTGGTCTCACCAATGCTCCCTCTACTTTTCAAGCCTTGATGAACAAAGTATTGAGACCATATTTGAGGAAGTTTGTGTTGGTATTTTTTGACGACATATTGATCTACAGCCAGACAGAGGAGGAACACATTGAGCAAGTCAGGAAAGTGCTGAAAACCTTGAAGGATAATCAACTGGTGGTAAATCAAAAGAAGTGTGAATTTGGACAAGGAAAACTGACCTATTTAGGCCATATTATATCTGGAAAAGGTGTGGAGGCAGATCCCAGCAAGGTACAGGATATGTTAAATTGGGAGAGACCTAATAATGCTAAAGGACTGAGGGGATTTTTGGGACTCACAGGCTATTACAGAAGGTTTGTTAAGGGGTATGGAAAAATAGCAGCACCCCTCAACAACCTATTGAAGAAAGATGGATTCCATTGGACACAAGAGGCAAGAGAGGCATTTGAAGAGCTAAAGCAAGCTATGACCAGACTGCCAGTTCTACAGATTCCAGATTTCAGCAAAACTTTTGTCATAGAAGCAGATGCTTCTGGAAAAGGAGTGGGGGCAGTATTGATGCAGGAAGGGAGACCTATAGCCTACATGAGTAAAACCCTATCCATCCGGAATCAAAATAAATCAGTTTATGAGAGAGAACTAATGGCAATTGTACTGGCTATACAGAAGTGGAGATCTTATTTGTTGGGAAGAAGATTTGAGGTGCATACAGACCAAAAGAGTCTAAGGTTTTTAACAGAACAGAGATTATTGGGGGAGGAGCAGCAAAAGTGGGTCACTAAACTCTTGGGATTTAATTTTGTCATTAAATATAAACCGGGAAGAGAGAATAAAGCTGCAGATGCTCTTTCCAGAAAGAAAGAATTCTACTCTCTCTCAATCATAACCTGTCAGGAGTGGGAGGGTTTGGAGAATGAAATCTTGGAGGATGACAAGTATAAAGAAATCATTAAAAGACTTTGGGGACAGCCGGAAGCAGTGCCAGATTTCAAAGTACAGAGAGGGTTGCTTTATTACAAAAACAGATTGGTTATTCCTAAAATTTCAGATAGAAGGTCCTCTATCTTAAAAGAATTTCATGAATCAGCAGTAGGAGGGCATGCAGGAAGCTTCAAAACCATGAAAAGAATCTCAAATATTTTCTATTGGGAGGGGATGAGGAAGGACATTCAAAGTTATGTTCAAAATTGTGAAGTTTGCCAGAGGAATAAGCATCAAACATTGAGTCCAGCAGGGTTGCTACAGCCTTTGCCTATTCCTAATATGATTTGGACTGATTTGAGCATGGACTTTATTGGAGGATTGCCAAAAGCAAATGGGAAAGACACTATTCTTGTGGTGGTGGACAGGTTGACAAAGTATGCTCATTTCCTAGCATTATCACACCCATATAATGCTAAAGGAGTGGCAGAGATATTCTTACAAGAAGTGGTTAGATTGCATGGTTTTCCAAAAACCATAGTTTCAGACAGAGACAGTGTCTTCCTCAGCTCATTTTGGACTGAATTATTCAGGTTAGCTGGAACCAAACTCAAATATAGCACTGCATATCATCCCCAGACAGATGGGCAAACTGAGGTAGTTAACAAATGTGTGGAAACTTACCTCAGATGTATGACTGGGATGAAACCCAGGCAGTGGCCCAAGTGGCTACCTTGGGCTGAGTTTTGGTATAACACCAACTACCATGTATCTACTAAGACCAGCCCCTACAAGGCACTCTATGGACAGGATCCACCAGTGCTGATCAGGGGAGATGTGGCCTTAACTGCTGTGGAGGAGGTGGATAGACTAACAGCGGAAAGGAATGAGATGTTAGAGGAACTGAAAAACAATTTGGCTAGTGCACAAAACCGAATGAAGCAACAGGCTGATAAGAAGAGAAGGGATGTTCAGCTGACTGTAGGGGAAAGGGTATATCTGAAGATTCAGCCCTACAAGTTAAAGACTTTAGCCAGAAGAAGTAATCAGAAGTTGAGCCCTAGATTTTATGGGCCTTTTGAAATCATTGAGAAGATCAACCCTGTGGCCTATAAACTGAAGCTGCCTGAAGATTGTAGAGTCCATCCAGTGTTCCATGTATCCCTATTAAAGAAAACAGTGTCTACTGCTGCACAGACACAACCTTTACCCAAGTGTCTTTCAGAAGAATGGGAACTACAGGTCTGGCCAGAAGAAGTTAAGGAAAGCAGAATTAACTCAAGTGGAAAAACTGAAGTGTTGGTGCACTGGAAAAATATGCCAGAGTTTGAGGATTCGTGGGAGGAGTTGCAACAGTTTGAGAAGCAATTTCCTGACTTCCACCTTGAGGACAAGGTGGTAGTTCCAGGGGGAGTGATGTTAGAGCTACAGGAAGTCAGCCTATTGATAATAATAATAATAATAATAGTATTAGCTATTATGACAAAGTGTATTCCAGAAGGAAAGGGAATAATAAGTAGCTGGGAGTTGTAATAAGGGGTCGGGTAGACTTCTATAAATAGATAGCTACAGGAGAAATAAGGCAGGCTGTAATTTGGTAGTTGGCTGGGACTGGAGAGTTGACATCTCTTTAACTGTCTGGCACTCTCTCTCTCTCTTCTGTTGATTGAATAACAAATCCGTTCATCTCTATTATTATTATTATCAATAGGCTGACTTCCTCTAGCTCTAACAGAGAGAGAGAGAGTAATCTTCCAGTCAGGAATTTCCTGACCGGAGCGCCATCCGGCCTCCCCCTTTTGGAGGGTTCCCGGTGGTATTGTTTGCTGATTTTTTTTTGCATGTTCTTCATCAAGTCTAGTTTATTCATACCAAATATCAGCTAAAAATTCAAATCGAGAAGGCAGTCGAATGATTTTTGGAAGATAATTGTGCCAAAATATACATATAAAACGTTGTTATCTTCCAAAAATCATTTGACTGCCTTCTCGGTTGCATTTTTGCTGAAATTTGGTGTGGATAAACTATACTTGATGAAGAACATACAAAAAAAGATTCAGCAAACAATACCATCGGGAACCTCCCCAAAAGGTTGAGGCCGGATGGGGCTCCCGGTCAAGAAATTCTTGACCGGAATATTCCTGTATATATATATAAGACATGTAATGATAAATATTGCGCTTTATATACACATATATAACGCAGTATCTTTCAATATCGTCTTTTTTCTGTACTAAAAGAAAATTAAAAGAAAATTGCTAATTTTTAGAGACTAAACTTACATCAAAGTCATGCCTTCGAGACTTCCTCCTATACCATTCATCCTTGTGTACAGTAGTTCCCAATTCATCAAGTTGTAGATATTTGAATGACAGGATCCTATTCCAGTTGGCAAAAAAACAATGCCATCATTCAGAGTTTCCTTTTGTTGCTGAAGGGCATAAATTTTCTACAAATAAGACTGAAACTTTCAGATATGTTCCTTTAAATTGTGACAATAAAATATTGTTGAAAGATCATGAAATACGATTAGAGTAGCTTGTACAGTCATCTGTCAAAAATAGGGTAAAATAACTCCATCTACTAAACATGCATACCAAAGTTTGATGAGGCAAGTTTTAATTGACACATCAAATACATACTACACTATAAATTTGTTGAAATTGAAGGTTGTGTGCTGCATAGAGAAATTTGGTTAGCAACACCTGTTGAAATTGAAAAACATTTACCGGTTAATGCTTGTGCCTTTTTCATCAAGAAGAGGCAGTAAAGCTGCTTTTGTTGAGAAGTGCCAAGTCAATGGAACTGGCCGTTTAGGTGAGGTCACCAACTCTGTTCTGCCATGAATCTTTAAAAAATCATAATATTAACATAATGTTTGGATGAAGGTACAAAGGTGAGCGCTTAAGCGCACCAGGCGAGGCACTACTAAGGGTAAGCGCTTTAGGAGTTCCCAAATGTGCTAATTTTGATCTGTGTACGCAGTTTTTGTCTTTGGGTGCCAATGTTACTGAACTGAGTGCCAATTTTTAGTGTTTTGGTGCCAATTTGGTCACTGAAATGAGTAACCTGCACTAAAACTATTTTTGTTTTAGATTCCAACTAAAGAAATGGTGTTTAGATTAAAATAAGTTAACAACTTTTTAAAGTAAAATCAGTTTGCATTAAAATTAACTTTGGAAGTGTAGCTTACAAGTGTATTACAGTGAAACCAGCGTGCATTAAAATGAACTTTAGAAGTGCAGTTTAAAACTGCAGTTTAGAAGTGCAGTTTAAAACTGCAGTTTAGAAGTGCGTTGAAGTAAATCAGTTTGCATTAAAATGAACTTTACAGCGCAGTTTAAAACTGCAGTTTAGAAGTGCATTGAAGTAAATCTGTTTGCATTAAAACTAACTTGTGTTTTAGATTACAACTAAAGAAATGGTGTTTAGATTAGAATAAGGTAACAACTTTTTAAAATAAAACCAGTTTGCATTAAAATTAACTTTTGAAGTGCAGTTTAGAAGTGTATTGAAGTAAAACCAGAGTGCAGTTTAAAATGAACTTTAGAAGTGCAGTTTAGAAGTGCATTAAAGTAAATCAGATTGCATTGAAACTAACTTGTTTAAAGTGAAACCAGATTGCATTAAGATCTTTAGAGAACATTCAAAGAAATTACCATAAATTACCATAAATCTTTAGAAATAGATTATCTACTTTAAATTAAACTTCTTTAAATGAGGGATTACAAGTAAATTACCATAGAACTACAACAACTATTTTAGGAGTCTAGTTTACAACATTAGAAGTGAACCTTTAGATTTAAAGAAGGTTAGATGAACTTCTTTAAAGTTTAACTAGTTTACATTAAAATAATTAAAGAACATTCAAAGAAATTAGAATAGTTCATCTACTTTAAATTTAAATTTCTTCAAATCATCATCATCATCATTACCTCAGTGCCGCAAAGGCTCCCACTTAAGGTGGGGTAGGGGGGGTCAGATGTACGCAGTCTTCTTACCCCTGTACTAAAGCAGGGAGAGACTGTTTTCAAATGACCCATAGTGAAAATCGCGTCGAAAATTGCATAGGCTGACTGTTACTTCATAACAAAGAAGAGCAGACAGTTTAGTGAGTCATTTTGCTTTATTCCATCATATTCCCTTCAAACAACCACACTTTTAAAATGAGTAACATGCTCCATCTAAACCAGTTTTCTGAACTACACTAAAACTATTTAGTCTGCAATCACAATTAAACTATAAATTCTTCAATCATTCTTTCATAATGCAATTGGATTTTAAAGGCTGCAATCACAATTAAATACTAAAGGTAATAAAAATATCATTAGGAGTGTACCAAGTAGTTCAACAGTGGAGTGTTTGGTACCAAAAATATGCCTGCTACCAAAATGTACCCTTTAAACAAAAAAACCATTCCATAATACAGCCTTTTAAAACAAAAAATAGGCTGCCATCACACAAAATGTACCTTGAACAAGAAAAGGTTTCCTAATGTAGGCCTATGAACAAAATGCAGCCCTTCTATGTTCTCTAAAAGTTCAGATTTGAATATCATTGGGATATTCATATATGAACTCCATTTGTACATTTTCTGTCTCTTCACCTGCTGCCATTCCTATTGGCCTTTGCAAATGAGCAATTGATTCTTCAACCAAAATAGGATCAACTGAAATCACATTAGGTAGAATACCTTGTCTTTCCAGTCTTCCTTTTCCCATGTGAGGCAACTTGTATTTGTTGTGACCTTTGCATTTTAGCACCTCTACCATATTGCAATGTGACCCACACACGTTTCGAATTTCTTGAATCAAGTTCATCAAATGATTGTTTTACATGATTGACTAAGCCATCAGTATTTTTTGAACTTTTTTGATGTTTTAGTGAGGCTGACATGTTAATTGAATGTCTCAATTCACCTTCTGTTGCTTCCTTCACAAAGTCTATGTCACCACACTCTATATGTGGCTTAGCGTTATCTTGCATGATTATTATGTGTTTGGCAGCCCCTTTTGGCCATTTCTGTTTGATGGCAGGCAGTATTTTCTCGATCATAAACTGTTTAATTACCTCCCTTGTGATGCTCGCAATGGGATTTGTAACTAGAGTTCTTCTTGATCTATTTCTATTGTTTTTTTGCCGTATCATGATAAGTGAATGGGAAAATCACAATCTTTCCATCCCATAAGACCTCCCCACTTTCTCCTATTTTAGGTCTTGCGACAGCCGTTAAGAACATTACTTTAGAATTGAACCTTTTACTTTGAGCTGCCCTATATGGGTCAGGTTCATCAGATTGCATATAGAAATGTTCAACTTCATCTGTTAAGTAGAACCATTTCTCATCTATGAGGACATATTCACTGAAATCGTGAAATGTAGGCTTTGATGGAATTGTATGATGAATTAAATGGCTTAAAAAGAACTTCCGTTCTTTGTTGCATACCTTTTTCTGTTAAAAATGGTTTGACTGCGTTTGAGTGCCTCATAATTGCCTTCTCCTTGACAAGTCTGTGATAGGAATTCTGTAGAAAAATGTAACATGTATTTGTTATTTTAATTATTTGTACATCCGGAACTGTATAGATAAGACTTAGAGTAGATAGAACTCTCTAACTAGTAGATAAGCTCGCAGAATAGATAGATCCTATATTTTAGGATCTGTAACAACTAGGCTTTATCTGTAACTTGTATATATATCATTGCCGGATGGCTCAATAATATACAAGGAAGATTAATTCTTCAAACCTACATGGTATCAGAGACTCGGTTTAAACAATGGTAGAAACCAGTGAGGCTGATTCCACACACACTATCAACCCTAACTCCCAAATTAGCCCTATGACAAATTATCAGTCTCCTATTCATTCATCTATGATAATCACTAGTCATAGATTGAATGGAACAAACTATCTGGAGTGGTCTCAATCTGTCAGACTTGCAATTGATGGGAGTGGAAAGCTAGGTTACATCACAGGAGAAATCAAACCAAAACTGCCTGCAGAAGAAGGGTACAGTACATGGAGGTCAGAGAATTAACTCATAACAGCTTGGCTTCTCAACTCCATGGAGCCCTTAATTGCCAAACCTCATATGTTTATGAAAACTGCAAAGGAGGTATGGGACTCTATTAAGGAAACTTATTCAGATCTTGAGAACTCTTCTCAAATTTTTGAACTCAAAACCAAACTGTGGCAATCTAAACAAGGAAATAGGGATATTATTTCATACTACAATGAAATGGTATCTCTGTGGCAAGAATTAGATCAATGCTATGGTGATGAAGAGTGGGAGAGTGTTAAGGATCTGGCCAGACATAAGAAAAGAGAAGAGAATGATAGAGTCTATATGTTTCTAGCAGGGATCAATAGGGACCTAGATGAAGTAAAAGGCAGAATACTGGGAAAGAAACCTCTGGCCTCAATCAGAGAGGTCAAGTTGGAAGATAGCATGAGGAGGGTCATGTACAACACTCCATTACCTAATGAGGAACCTGGGGACTCTTCAGCTTTAGTGGCCAGAAGTGATGACAAGAAAACACCTTGGTGTGATCACTGCAAAAAATTGTGGCACACAAGAGAAACATGCCGGAAACATCATGGAAAACCACCAGGAGCTGGAAAGAAGAAAGTTGAGAGGGCCCTACAAACTACTGTGACTGAGACACAACAAGAGTAAGGAGTTGAATCTAAACAACTGCCTTTCACTCAGGTACAGATAGAGTACCTACTCCAATTTATACCCACCCAGAAAATCTCCAACCAAGAAAACCCTTCCTGTTCTTTTGCCCAAAATGGTAAAATAACATCATTTTTTGTTCTGAAAAACCAAAAAACACCTGGGTCATTGACTCAGGTGACCTACATTCCAAATCTCTTTTCTTCATATCAACCTTGTGCAGGAGATAAGAAAGTTAGAGTTGCAGATGGCTTTTTTTCAGCCATAGCAGGGATGGGAAATATTAAAATTTCCTCATCCATTAACCTTTCTAAAGTCTTACATGTTCCAAAACTTTCCTGCAATCTTATCTCTCATACTTGTTACGGCGTCGCCTAGTCGCCGACTAGGCGTCCTGGCGCTAGGGAGTTATCGCCGTCTTCACTCGCCTCGCCAGAAGAAGAATAGTCGTGATAGGCGTCCTCCAGGCGTCGCCTAGGCGCAATTTTGCGACAAGTCGTCGCCTTTTTTGCCATTCAACAACCGTGCAGGCCCAGAAAAAAATAGATTTAGGCTTTTAATTGAAATTAAAGCCCAAAGGTATCTGATAATCTTACGGGCTATTTGTTTCCATCTTCGAACTCAAGTCGTAGAGACTAGCCAGACAAGTCGGAGGAATCATACGTACCGCAGCAACTCCAGGAAGCAGAAGAGCTTGCGCGTCTCGCACTCCCTCAGTCCCTCGCGTAAGCATATTTGCGCTGAGGAGACGATCAGTACGTTCTATTTTTTTCTGATCTAGTGGAGTAATATTTTAATTAATTAAGTTGTATATTTATATAAATACGTATATATAGAGTATTTTGTAAACATGGTATGCGTAATTATGCCCAAATATATTTTATACTTTACTGAGTTTACGTAGTTTAACTGTTTGTTAAGTATACAAATATATGAAAATGTAAATAATTAAATGCGTACTTTACTTTTTGTAATATATTAGTAATAAATAAAGAAATACAATTTAATTAGTAATGTATTATATTATATATATATAATTATATATATAATAAAATATAATATAGAATGTGCGACTAGTCGCCTAATTGTCGCCTAGCCAGGCGCCTTATCGCCTAGGCGATAAGGCTGTCGGCTGGCGCCGCGACTCGACTTACCGCCGTGACAAGCATGTTATCTCTATTAGCAAAATAACCAAAGACCTTCAGTGTTGTGTAAAGTTTTATCCTTCTTATTGCATTTTTCAGGATCTGGCATCGGGGAGGATGATTGGCAGTGCTAGAGAGGAGGATGGCCTATATGTTTTTTATGAAGGAACACAATTGAATAAACAAGGTCAAGAAAAAACTTGTCTACAAACTATTTCCTTTCCTTGTAATAATGAAGTGTATTAATGCACTATAGATTAGGTCACCCAAGTTTTCCCTATCTAAAAAGGTTGTTTCCTAAGTTATTTCATAATAAAAATCCTTCATCATTTCATTGTGATATGTGTGCACTTGCCAAACATCATACGAGCTCTTATATCCCTCATAGTTACAAGCCAACTAGTCCTTTTACTATTGTACACAGTGATATTTGGAGTGCATCTAGAGTTTCAACTTTGAAAGGAAAAAGGTGGTTTGTAACTATCATAGATGATCACACACGGGTCACATGGGTTTTTTTTATTAAAGAAAAATCTGAGGTTGAAGAGGTGTTCAAGAAATTTTACTCAATGATTCAGACTCAATTCAATACTAATATCAAAATCGTGAGAAGTGATAATGGTTTTGAGTATTTTTCTAAGAAGTTAAATAATTTTTTTGCTGAAAAAGGGATTATTCATCAAAGTTCCTGTATAAATACACCTGCTCAGAATGGAATAGCTGAGAGGAAAAATAGGCATTTGCTTGAAGTCACTCGTGCAATTATGTTTTCTGCTAGAATTCCAAAATATTTATGGGGAGAAGCTGTTTTACATGCTACCTATTTAATTAATAGGATGCCATCAAAGACTCTAGGATTTAAAACACCCATTGATACACTTTAAGCCAGTTTTCCTGAAAGTAGGCTTATTAACTCTCTTCCCATAAAAATTTTTGGCTGCACAGTTTTTATTACCAACCCTGACAAAACTGCAAGCAAATTTGATCCTAGAGGCAAAAAATGTGTTTTCTTTGGACTATCTTCAACACAGAAAGGCTATAAATGTTTTGACCCTACAACAAAAAAGATGTTTGTAACAATGAACACTGTTTTTGTTGAAAATCAACCTTTTTTTGGTACTCATCTACCGGGGGAGATTCCTAATGAAGATGGTGATTATGTGTCAAATATCCATGAAAAACTTGAATTTCTTGACATTAGTCTAGATGCACAATATAATAGACAGTTAGATTCACTAGAAAATAGTCAAGAATCAAAAGAAAATGAAATAAAATTTTCTGAGACAAGGAAAGATGATGAACAGCAGACAAGTAAATTTGTTGGCAAGGTTTATGAAAGGAGAGTTCCAAATCAAAGAATAGAGAACATCCCTGATCCAGTGATCTAAATCTACCCATTGCTCTCAGAAAAGAAAAAAGATCATGTGTTAAATACCCTATCTCAAATTATTTGTCCTATTCTCATGCATCATTTGCAGCCTTTACCTCTAGTCTTTCCACTGTTTCTATTCCCTTAACCATACAGGAAGCTCTATCTAAACCTGAGTGGAAGAAGGCTGTTTTAGAAGAAATGAATGCTCTTGAAAAGAATCGGACATGGCAGGTTGTGGAATTACCCAAGAACAAATCAACAGTGGGATGCAAATGGGTATTTACCCCTAAATTCAAGGCAGATGGTACACTTGAAAGATATAAGGCCAGATGGGTTGACAAAGGATATACACAAACCTATGGCATAGATTATACAAAAACTTTTGCTCCAGTTGCAAAATTAAATACTATAAGGATTCTTCTATCTCTAGCTGCTAACCTAGACTGGCCTCTTCAACAGTTAGATGTGAAGAATGCTTTCTTAAATGGGAAGCTTGAAGAGGAAGTATACATGAGCCCCCCTCCTGGGTTTGAGGAACAGTATGGCTCAAAGGTGTGCAAGCTGGAGAAAGCCTTATATGGACTTAAACAGTCCCCAAGGGCTTGGTTTGAAAGGTTTACTCAATTCATAAAGAGGCAGGGATTCAAGCAAGCCCAAGCAGACCATACACTGTTCATGAAGTTCTGAAGTAAGGGAGAGATTGCAGTGTTAATTGTTTATGTGGATGATATCATTCTTACAGGAGACTATTATAAAGATATTGAAGACCTGAAGAAGAAGTTGGCTCAGGAATTTGAGATCAAAGACCTGGGAGAATTGAAGTACTTTCTTGGCATGGAGATAGCCAGATCAAAGAAGGGAATTGTGGTATCTCAGAGGAAGTATGTACTAGACCTACTCCATGAAACAGGTATGAGTGCCTGCAGACCAATAGATACTCCAATTGATCCTAATCAAAAGTTAGGAGATGTCAAGGAAGGAGTACCAGTTAATGTTCAACAATATCAAAGATTGGTGGGAAGATTGATTTATCTGGCACATACAAGGCCAGATATTGCCTTTGCAGTTAGTATGGTTAGCCAATTCATGCATAATCCATTCCAGGAACATCTAGATGCTACCTAGAGAATCCTAAGGTATTTGAAGAATTGTCCAGGGAAAGGATTATTTTTTAAAAAGGGTGACAATAGAAGTGTGGAAGCTTTTACAGATGCAGATTATGCTGGCTCAATAACTGATAGAAGGTCTACATCTGGGTATTGTACCTATGTATGGGGAATCTAGTGACTTGGAGGAGTAAGAAGCAGAATGTGGTTGCTAGAAGTAGTGT